CACACATATGCCCTGTAGCAAAAACTAAAAACAAACAAACAAAGAAAAAAAACATCACAGCAATCTAACTTTGGCTTTTTTTTTTTTTTCTTGAAAATAGTTGCAGCAAAGCATATTGTGAAACAAGTGTGTTGATTTAATGAAGTAGCAAAGCATTGACACATTTCCATTTTTACCAAGTATTATTAGCCATAAAAGTCTGTTGCTTACTATTTTTGCTATATTGTAATAAAAATAAAACCCACACACTCCTAAAACTGTAGGAAATTATTGTAGAAATTCTTATTTACAAATTTTAAGTATATAAAACATGATGAGATTCTTTTTACAAATTTCATCTTTTCGTTAATCCAGTTCTTGATATCTTGGTGCTATTGGGAGGAACAGAGAGCACTGAAAAAACTTGATTTAAGGTATAAACTAAATAAGAAGCTTTATAGAGGAATTTTGTTCTTTTCTTCTGGGTTTTCACTTTCTTCCTATCCATAAACTCCAGAATTTTGAGCTTAGGTTTGCTATCATTTTCACCATACCTCATCTCTGAAATGAATTGATTTCTCATACATGATGGCTGAATTATGGTTGGAAAATATCCTCTTTCCCCTGAAGTCATCCAAAGACAAATAACCATTTCAAACGGAATATTATAGAAGAAAACAGAGGAAAATAATAGCCAAAAGCAAAGAAATGAGTGATTTCAACAGCCAGTCAAAGATTGGTTCGATGAACTCAGCTTACATAACACTTAGTTTTATTTATCAAGCCTAACCCTATCTGGGGATATAAAACAAAGAAACTTCAAGTAGGTTTAGGTTGGCACAGTTTCAAGCCAGTGTGAAACTCTGAGATGCTGAGTCTTTTTTCTTTTCTTTTTTTTTTTTTTTTAAATTGCCAGAAAGCACGTGAGCTTTCCATAGAAAAAGGGAGGGCGGTGAGCTCCCCTAATGGGGTGTGGCAGAGTAGAAATCCCTTCTTTATTACTCTTTCCTTTTAGGAATTTGGGCATGCACACACATGCCCTGCATGTTTTATGTTTTTCAAGTCACTAGGTCTAGGTCTCAAACTGTGAAGTCAGCCACATAGGATCCAGCAATTCCCTTAACCTCCAAGTCATGGCTGGCCCATGTAGACTTATTTCTAAAGAGTTCTTATTTCTAAGGGCTCCTGGTCATCCTCAGGATCTAGGCTGTGCTGTATTTCTATCTTTCAGCTTCTTTGATCCTCTGGTCTTTTGCCGTGAAAACAATACTTTGCACCCAGAATTGATCCTGAAATTTCAGGCTTATTTGCCTGTACTTACATGTATGTGTCCTCTGCTTCTTCCAAATGGTTCATGACTCCCAAATTCCATATTCCCTGTAGCCTGGCTCTCTTACTAGTCTGTAGTTAAAGGTGGTCCTACTTTTAATACTATTAGGATTTTTCATTTGTTATTTTAAGCCATCATATATCCCTGGTCTTTTTCATTTGTTCATTCATTCATTTGTTCATTCAATTAATATTTTTGAGTGCCTACAATGTGCCAGGCATTCTGCAAGGCATTAGGTTTATGTGATGAACAGAACAGATATGGGCTTTACATTTGTGGAACTTAGTCTAGTGAAGAATTTAGACATTAAATGAGTATATTTGCAAACAGATGCATGATAATATATTATGATAAATGCCATGAAGGAAAACAAATGGGTAATTATGAGAGAGACTAATAAAGGCAACTTACTTTAGAAAGGTCCAACTAGACCTTTCTAAGGAAGTGATGACTGAACCTGAGATGAAGCAGTAGCCAGCCAAAGAGTAGGGCAAAGAGCACTCTAAAGAGAGGGCACAGCATATGCAAAATCTCTGAGTGGAGAGAATTTGGGGTGTTATAAGAACTCAAAGGAAGCCATCATATGGCTGCAGTGTAATAAGGGGAGACAGAATTAAGGTGAGCTGGAGAGATGGGAGAAGAGTAGTTAGGTTCACATTAAGTAGTTCAGAGTTTAAGTGTAATGAGAAGTCATAAAAGGGTTTTAGTCAGAGAAAATATGCGCTGTTTTTTAAAAAGATCATTCTGGCTGCTATATAGAGAATGAATTATAGGGTGACAAGAGCTGAAGTTGCCAGCTGTGATACCTGATGCCAACTTTTGGTGGGAAACTTGAACTGTTCAAAAATCCTTCAGTTGCAAGTGACAGTAAACCCGATTTAAGCCGACTTAAGCAGACAGAGGGATTTATTGGCTTGTAACCAAGGGTTAAGATTATGTAATCAGGACTCTCATTCTATCTCTCTCTGCTCTCTCTGTTCCACTCTGATTAGTTCTCTTGTAGGTAGGCATTTACTGTGTGGTTTCAGGTTTATCATGTTAAAATAAAAGAAGCTTTTTCCAGAAGGAAAGCAACAGTTGATGCCTAATGCTAATTGGGTCTGATTATCTTGACTAGGTTCATTTGCCTTTCCCTCAACCAATATTCAATGTTAAATTAGGCAGGATAGTGTCACATCTAATGTATAACAGTTGTTACATGTGGACACTAACCAATCAGCAGTGAGGTCAGATCTACATCTGGTGTGTGACCATGCCAATGTACCAGCTGAAAATAAGCCCTACTTATAGGTTGTTTCTTGATCTAAAGGTAGAATCAGCTTCACTAGAAGCATAGGAACTGAAAATTGGTGAAGAGGGTTTGTATAAGGGAAATTCAAGTTCTACTACCAGGAGAAGAGAAAATGAATGTGGAGCAGAAATTATAAAAACATTTATGACACAGGTCAGCCCCAAACAGCAGTGGTTAAGGGAACAAAAATGAAATGACCAGCCACAATTTGAATCCTGGTCCTAGACTTGAATAATATGTGAGGCTTGTGTGTGTGGATGCCCCAAATCCTGAGGGGATAGATGCAGTGAGAAACAAAGACTGTGGTGTGACCATACTCCAATGGGGGGGAGGGTCCTTTCTCTCTCTCCCTGGTGAGTGCACACACCCTCTGGAAATGAAAAAATATCGTACAGAAAAAAAATATAAGCCAATATGTAAAATAGAAGTTCCTTCTATTAATATGTATAGAATCTTCACCTCTTTGATAAAACCAATATTCCCCCTTGGGATAATTATTTTCTTTTAGAGGGCTAAATATAAATCTCAGCTTCTATCCAGTATAAAGATTATTCATACCTTCTAAACTTCCTCACCTCCACTTATATTCATTCTCTATTCTCAATGTCTAGACCACAGTAGGTATTCAGTAAATGTAAATTTTGATTAGTTCTGATTGAAAATCCACTATGTACTCTGGTGATTCATACTCAAGTGCCTCCAGAAAGGGAAGTACACATATGTAGCTCTCACTATATTCTGAAAATGTTGAAAACAGGGAATATTTAATACTTTCTCTACATTTATATGCTGTTTGTTAGAAGATATATATAAACCTAAAGTATCTTCCTTTCACTGCAAGACAGTGCATGTGCAAAATGTAGACCTGATTTTTGCTGGACTGTTTTCAAAATTGGGCAGAACTCGATACATGAATATATTACAGTGCTGGGAAGACATATCTATTTTTAAGCCTCTTAGAAGCAACTAAAATAGCAAAACAAAGCAACATAATAATGCTTTTGGGAGCTTATAGGCCTAAGTTAGAATCATGTATATTGAGAAGAAAAGTAGGCTGAAAACTGGAGTGAGAAAGAAATTTTTAGAGGATAATTTAAGAAAAATCACAGACTTGCTATGATTAAATTAATATGAAGAAGAAAGGATTTGAAAGTATACTAAGAGTGGTCAGGGTCCAACCCTATGGTCCAGTGGTTGACGGAGCTGTATCTTACACAGCTGATGGCACAGTTTGAGTCGTGGAACTGGAGACTTGAGAAATACGCTAGACATGTGTGTGTGTGTGTGTGTGTGTGTGTGTGTGCATTCCCCAATCCCAAGGGGATGGAGAAATGGAGAAGGGACTGTGGCGCGACCATACCCCATCGGGGGGTGGTTTTCTACCTCTCCCTCTCTTTGTCTCTCTCTAGTGACTGCACAGGCCCTCAGGTATTAAAAAAAGAAGGTGGTCAGATTACAAAATAAGATGAAGTCCAATGCCAAAATGGGAATGCCTAATAAAGCTGAACACACACACACACACACACACACACACACACACACACGAGATTATAGTGTCAACTAATTTGTAAACAGCTATATTTTGTTAATGTTTGATAATTATATGTTTATTTGGGAGTACTACTCTGGAGGAAATGTTTTATCTAAACAAGTATGCAATCTGATAAACTAATCAGAGTCTGTCTTCATTCTTATATTTTTGTTTTTTTCCCTGTTGATTCTAGGTATCTGTAATTCTTCCCTACCAAGCAAGTCTGCAGATTCTGTTCAGTCAAATAACTCCATCTCCTTTCTGAATTTTGGTATGTGTTATTCTACAGCAGAGTTTTAATCTAAATTATTCACTTACAGTAAGAGATAAAACTTTAAATATGATTACATAGGAGCTTATATTTACATTCTTTTCCATGACATTTTTCTTTTGATGTTTAACCTTAGCTACATCTTAATAGCTCATGTAGGACTAAATTGTCTGTTATATGGGAAAAATAATTCCAGGTAATAATATTATTATTATTTTAAGAATTATTTTACTTATTCACTCATTCCTTTTAATTGGACCAGAGAGAGAGAGAGGGAGAGGGGAAGGAAGAAACCAAGTTACCAGGTCTGGAACTCAAAATGTGGTTAGCTATGTGGGAGTGTCCAGCGCCATAACCACCACACCATCTGCTGGCCCGGGTAACTGTTTTATTATGTTGGCATGTAGTAAGATAATGTGATTACTAAAATGAAGAAAATGAGATGCTATCATATTCCAGCTAATATCTAAAGCAAAGTTATAAAAAAATACAAGCGCAGGGATGGCAGGTGGCGTGGTGGTTAAGGCGGCTGGATTCCCACATGGCTGACTGTGGTTTGAGTCCCAGACCTGGCAGCTTGCTTAGTAACTTTCCTTCTCACTCTCTGTCTCTCTCTGGTCAACTTCAAAAAAATAAAATAAAGATAATGACAATGAATAAAATTAAGTAATTCTTGGGGAAAAAAAATACAACTGTGAGAAAAATCTAATCTTATGTAACTCATCTAATAGTAGGAGATGAAACACAATTCTGACAAAGTAAAGGGCAAGTAAGCAATATCTGTGTATTATTTTAAAATAACTTTGAAATATTTTAAGCATCCTATGTGATACATATTTACAATATTAAAGTAGTATGCAAGCCCCAAATCCTGATGGGATGGAGGAAGAAGGATTGGAGTGTGATCATGCCCTATTGGGGATGCTTTCTTTCCCTCTCTCTCTAGTGAGAGAATGTACCCTCTGGCAACAAAAAAGAAAAAAAAATCACATAGAATATTGTATAAATTATGAAAAAAATATCCAGCTTTGCCTGGAACACAAATGACCTCTGATTTCTACTTTTCTCTAAATCATGATACTCACAGGATCACTGTTAGCACTTAACTTTACAACCCAATGTGACCTAATGTGAGGGTGAAATATTAGAAAGCTGCCTCAATATTGCTTCCTCTCAAATATGCCTAGGCTTGAACATTTTATTATACCTACTTAAAAAGCAGCACTTTCTTTTTGTTTTTCATTTGTTCCCTTTTATAAAGAAGGCAATATAAATTTAAAGGATATACTTTAAAAAAGTGTTTTAAAGTAGAATGAAAACCCTTGTGATTCAGGTTTGTTTTTCCTGAATTGGCCCACATGCAAACAAAAAAAAAAGGTAGTTCACGATTTTTCTTATTTATTTATTTGTGCTATAGGGAGCTTGCACTCACTGGGGAGAGAGAGAGAGAAATTGAGGCCCTCTAACCCCCTTGTCCTATCCTGGGGAGGATGGCCATGCCACAGTTCCTTCTCCTCTGTTTTTCTTTAGAGATTTTGGGCATGCACACACATGTGCTTGGCATGTTTTTTCAAGCTTCCAGTTCCAAGACTTGAATCATGCAGTTGGCCATGTGGGACCCAGCTGCCTTAACCACCGTGCTACCAGCTGGCTGTCACTACTGTTTAAACCATTGAGAATTGACCAGTGAGAGACTGAATACAGATATTCTTCAAATCTAGATACTCAGTATGTACATAATATATTCTAACTTGTGTTCCCAGTCCAGTGGGGTTACAATCAAGCTACTGTACTGATGGGACAATTTTGACTATCATATGAAACTAATTAGTTTGAAATATTTTTCTCCTTTTTTTTTTTTCTTTTGTCATTCACAGGAGTAAAATGTACATGAACCAGGCTGGGCACCCTTTTTTTTTTTTTTTAAGCATCACCGTAATAAATATAACTTTATTTATTTTTTAATCCTTTCCCATTTCCTATACTCCTTGTCTTCTAGTTCTGGTGTGTTTATACATATGTTCAGATTCAAGCAACACTTGAGTAGTTATTATATGCCAGACATCATGCTGGATACTTTCCAATAGATATCTTATTTGATCCTTATGTCAGCTCTGTAAGGTAGATAATACATTCTGTAAGATTATGAGATTAAAGATTTAGGAATAGCTTTGAGTTTTCCATTCTCTGTTCTCCCTCTGTATTGCAAACCTTTCATTTCTCAGTTTAAGTCCCTAAAGTTGCAAGATACTTTGAAGACACCATCATCAATGAAAAGAAAGTCATATGTTGCTGAAGTGATAAACAACCAATATTATCAACCTGCCAATCTTTTCAAAGTATCCAGAAATAGCCTTCATTTGTTGTGAAAAGTTTCCCTTTTCTCATTCTCTAGGTGGGAGTGGGAGGGGTGAGTTTGAAGAAGGAATATAAATAAAAACGATTACTTAAATTTTTCAGGATTATTTTTTTCTATGCTTTTCAAACAATCTCTTGTTAAACTGATGACTTTCTGGGCTGAGAGTTATAACTGATTTAATGTAATCGATGTTTCAATGATAGTATTTATTTTTATGAAATTGAAATTTCCCAGTTTTTAAATAATTATTTTATTTAACTTTATTTATTTATTTATTTTATTTCAATTTGATCAGAGAGGGACAGAGTGAGTGAGAGAGAAAGGGAAAGTGAGAAAGCAAGCCGCCAGGTCCAGGACTCAAACCGTGGTTGTTCACATGGGAGTCCAGCATCCTTAACCACCATGCCATCTGCCAGCCCCCCAGCTTTGTTTTCTGAATGGGTGGGTGAAGAGCAATCAATCAATCAATCAATCAATAGTATACTGAGTTATCAAAGGCTATTAAAACCAAGGTTCTTTATCCAATTTTTCAGTTACCTGTGGTCAATTAAGGTCTGAAAATATTAAATAGAAAATTTCAGAAATAAACAGATCATAAGTTTTCAATTAAATACTGTTCTGAGTGGTGTGATGATATACTATGCTGTCCTGCTACAGACATTATTATGCCTTTGTCTAATGTTGTATATGTGATTCAATACTGGTCCATTAGTCATTTAGCAGCCCTCTTGGTTATCAGTTTGAAAAAAAAAATAGTGTATGTGGGGTTTGGTGTACTATCCCAGGTTTCAGGCATAGGGTAGGAATCTTGGAATGTACCCTCCCCCCTAGATAAAGAGAGACTATTACATTAGCATTATTAAATTTGTAAGTGCTCTACAAATTTAAAATATTATCAGTATTCTATTACTACCATTCAAGTTTTAAATTACTATAAATGTATATGGTCAAAGTAAATTGAGTCAAAACATTACCTGATCTTTTGAAAAAAATCCATATATTTACATGTTACAATACACTCTAAAATCCAAGTATTCATTTTTCTATTTTAAAAAAATCCTAATTTTTTCATCTCATTCATTCATTTAATTTTATTTGTGTTTCCAGGTTTTGCAAATCGTTTTTCAAAACCCAAAGGACCAAGGAACCCACCACCAACTTGGAATATTTAATACAACTTGGATGTATAAGAATACAGGCTGTGGTCTATCCTGCATCTTTTCCCCTGAAAACCTCATGAGGTGGTTGTGATTTCAGCGATGAGCTCCCAGAAAGGCAACGTGGCTCGTTCCAGGCCTCAGAAGCACCAGAATACATTTAGCTTCAAAAATGACAAGTTTGATAAAAGTGTTCATACCAAGAAAATTAATGCAAAACTTCATGATGGAGTATGTCAGCGCTGTAAAAAAGTTCTTGAATGGCGTGTGAAATACAGCAAATACAAACCATTATCAAAACCAAAAAAATGTGTTAAATGCTTACAGAAGACAGTGAAGGACTCTTACCATATAATGTGTAGACCATGTGCCTGTGAACTTGAAGTTTGTGCAAAATGTGGAAAGAAAGAAGAAATTGTTATTCTGATTAATAAAGAACCAGAAAAGACAGAAAATAATCTGAGTCCCAACTGGAGAAGAAGTTGCAGAAGAAATGAAGAAAGTGATGATGATTTAGAGTTTGATATTGCTTTAGATGACACAGAAGATGACAGTCCAGTGGATTAATATAAATATATTAAAAGTCAGTTTGAGAACACGAAATTTTGACCAACTTCTGCCTTTGAGGGTTTCAGTTTCACAAAGAATCTGTGAAATCCTAATGAGGAAATCAGAAAAACCTATAGAAAATGGGCAACATTTGTATTTGAACAGTATATAAATTATGTATGGTATTTGTATAATAATAAAAAAAAGAATACAGGCTGCAAGTGCACCTGCAAATAAAACTACTAGAACATTGCTAGCTAAACTAAGTGCTCTGTTACATACATAATATCAATATTGATGATATACTAATGTGTTAATAGCTTTTTAAAATCTGCAAGTAAGCACTAGCAGTTTTGCATTTTCATGTCATATACATTCGGCTGGAAACTGAAAATGAAACTTTGTCCCTTGAGCTTATGCAGAGAATGCTGATGAAACACTGTTTAAGAATGGACTTATTGGGACCAGCAGTTGGCAAAATGGTTATGTCGCTGGACTGCCATGTAGTTGGCCGTGGTTAAGAGTCTCAGACCTGGTGGCTTAAACTCATGCCAGGCCTGTGGGCATGCGTGCCCAAGATCCTGAGAGGAGAATGGAGGAAAAGATTTGGATAGCAGCGTGGCCATCCCCCCTCGCTTTCTGTAGGTCTCTCTGGTGAGCACATGCGCCCTACAGCAAAAAAATAAACCTCTCCAAAAGAATGGACTTACTTCTCATTTTGGGTATTTTATTTTACTTTTCGAAATAAACTTTTAAAAGCCTTGTAAGAACTAGATCTTGATTAAATTTCTACATTGCTAGAATTTACTATAAAAAGTGAGTTTTTAAAAAAAGTCTTACCTTGTGGTTGCAATATAAAATTACTGCTATGACAATGATTATTCCTTTTAAGTTATTTTTTGCCCAAATGGAATATACCTTGCACATCTTCCCAAATGTTGTGGGAAAGTAAAATAAGAAAAAAAAGTAGTTATACTTAAGGGAATAAAATGTGTCAATAAGTACAGTAATATTTTTTATTGGGATATACCAACAACATGTTCAACTACATTCCTGGTAAGTTTTAGCCAAAGTAATTCAGTTATCAACTGTAGAAAAAACACTGGAACTATCAGATGGCATAATGGTTATGTTGTACTCTCATGTAACCAACTGCAGTTTGAGTCCCCTACCTGGCAGCTTAAAACTCATGCACAGTACATGTGCGTGAGTGTCCAAAATCCTGGGAGAATTAAGAAGGGATTGCCTCAGGGCCATCTCCTCTGGGAGGATGGAAATGTGACTTCTCACTTTCTGTCTCTTTATCGCTCAATCTCTCCTGTGAGCATATGCACCCTATAGCAAAAAATCTCTCTATAAAAAATAAAAATAACAAGGGATCAGCAGATAGCATAATGGCTACATCACTGGGCTCCCATGTAGTCGACTATGGTTCGAGTACTGGACCCGGTGGCTTAAACTCATGCCGGGCGCGGGCGTGTGTATGTGTGTGTGTGTGTACGTGCCCAAGATTCCAAGAGGAGAATGGAGGAGAAGGGATTGCAGCGTGGCCATCCCCCCGGGGAGTGATTTCTTGCTTTCTTCTGTCTCTTTCTGGTGAGCGCATGCGCCTGATAGCAAAAACCTCTCCAAAAATCAATCGATCAATCAACAAAACAGTTTTTTGGTAACATTTTAATCTTAATGTCCTATGTAAACAGATACCATTTATATCCAACCAGAGGTACAGATACAATAGTTTAAAATAAATTTCTGTATGAATATAGAATTTCATATTTAAGAAAATCTGACATTTCAAATCTATGTAGCAAATAAATTAGTGGGTAATTGTTATCACAAAGGATTTACTTGACTTCCTCTAATGGGTGAACATCTTTGATGTAAAAATAGTTGATTATAACTTTTAGAACTATGTATTAATTACTTAAATATCATTTCCTCTTTATACATCATTTGCTCTTCAATGTTTTTAATTTGAAAGCCTAATGGTAGGACAAATTGAATTATTTTTAATTTGTCTATTGTAGTACAGTGTACCCAATAGGCGCTCAATAAACTTTTTTTTAAACTTAACTTCACTGTGCATAGTGTTCATTTAGCTAGTCATACTTCTCCAGGAGCTAGTGGTATCCAAAGCACAACAATTTTATCTGTGGAGTACATCGCTGTTAACTAATTATTTCCAAATATCTTTACCAAGGACCAAACCTATGAATAGAATCTTCCTAGGTAAAAGCTAGACCATGAAATTCTAAATGAATTTCTGAGCAACAACCATTCCTTGGCCAACAGCGATTTTTGCAGTGTTCTCTGTTGGACACGCTTTTCAATTTTGCGCAAACTTTTTGCTTGTAATTTAACAAAAAACATATTTGAAAGAGTCTAGAAATGGTTTTCCAATTAGGATTTCGAATACAGGGATATGTCCAAATAAACGGTGAACTCTACCTTTCCAGGCAATAGCGGCGATGTGGCTCCACGGCCAGGAGCCGTGCTCACCCGGCTCCCAGGCAGTTCCCGCACCTGCCTCGTTACGCCTGTAGTTATCATTGCCATGCCCAGAAAAAAGCTTCAAAAATTTTCTGAACTGTAGCCCTATTATTTGTATTTTGCAGCAAAATCGCCCTCCTTTTACGTATTACTAAACCCTCTTTCCCCTCTTTTCATCGCTTGTGTAAGGATAAAAGCTGAGGATTCTTTTACCTCACAAAGGTATAAGAGGAATATGAGATGTTAAAGTCGCTATGGAGACCATAGCGTAAAATGACGAAAGGGCACAGGAAGATGATAATGGAACGCGCCGCCACACTCGGAAGGCCAACATTGTTCGGGCCGTTAAGGCGGTTGGCGGCAACCCTCCGCCCAGCGGCGGTTGCGTCGCAGCGCGGAGCGTGCCTCGGCGCACGCTCCCTCTGCGCTCCTCCACTCACGGCGCCCGGGACGCGAACGACCGCGCCGCGCGGCGGAACTACCCCTCCCATGAGGCTGCGCGCGGCCGAGCTCTACAATAGAAGCGCGGTTGGAGAGGCCTGTGGAGACTGCCTGGGAACTGCCGCTTCCGGCATGTTCGGCTCCGGACGAGGACCGGCCGACCAGTGGAGGGGGGAGGAGAGACTCCAATGCCCAGCGGGCCATGCGCGGGTGGCGCTTGCGCGATGCGCGGACGGGGGGGCGGTCGGGCCATTTAAATGTGTGTTTGTGGGTGAAATGGCTGCGCAGGTCGGAGCGGTGCGCGTAGTACGGGCGGTGGCGGCGCCGGAGGAGCCGGACAAAGAGGGGAAGGAGAAACCCCATGCTGGGGTCTCGCCGCGGGGAGTGAAGCGGCAGCGCCGAGCAAGCAGTGGGGGGTCTCAGGAGAAGCGGGGGCGGCCGAGCCAGGACCCCCCTCTCGCTCCCCCTCACCCCGTGGGGCTGGGCGGGGGAGGGGGGGGCGGCCGAGCCAGGACCCCCCTCTCGCTCCCCCTCACCGGCGGCGTCGCAGTCGCCAACATCCCGGGCCGCTGCAGCCAACGAATGCAGCCCCAACAGTCCCGGGCCCTGTTGAGCCTCTGCTCCTGCCGCCTCCACCGCCACCTTCTCTGGCGCCCGCCGGGCCCGCTGTCGCTGCCCCACTGCCGGCCCCGGGAACCTCGGCCCTCTTCACCTTCTCGCCCCTGACGGTGAGCGCGGCCGGGCCCAAGCATAAGGGCCACAAGGAGCGGCACAAGCACCATCATCACCGCGGCTCCGATGGTGACCCCAGCTCCTGCGTTCCGGGTGATCTCAAGCACAAGGACAAACAGGAAAACGGCGAGAGGACTGGAGGGGTGCCTCTGGTCAAGGGCCCCAAGAGAGGTGAGAGCCGGCAAACAGCCCGGGCTTGGGCTCTGGGTCTCTCAGTTCCGATATCCCGCCCCTTTATCCCGAAAGACGCCAAACCCCGGCTTACCTCCTGCTGCTCTACTTCCCTAAACCCGTTGGGGTGTACTCTGGATTTCTGACCGTTGACACAGTTTGACCTACTTGAGGCTTCTCGCTCCGAGGCCGAGCTGTCAGTTACCAAGCCCGGTAGCTGGTAGCTGTCCCCGGGAGCCTCGCAACGTTTGTTTTCAAATTCCGCAGGGTTTCCGCGCTGCGCGGTCCTTGGCGTTGTGTTAGTAGGTGAGGGTTCTCAACATGGCTTTTTAGTAGTGAAGGCTTGTCGCTGACATCCCTACTCCCCGATTTCCTTGCTGAAAAGCATTAGTACTCTCCCCTGCCTCCAAATATTCACGAGTATGGTTTGGGGCTTTAATGAGTGAATTCCACGACTTCGTGGTTGCTTTAGCCTTTTGCAAGGTGAAATAGCAAATGCAGTTATCTTGTTTTAATCTAGAGGTAAAAATCATTTACACATTTTTATACTGGCTATTTTAATTCTTAGGCTAGGGATGGGGAAGGTTTTCTCTCTTGTTTGATCCTAGAAAATAGGACTAACATTTCTTCTGAAAAGTGGAAATTATGCAGTAGAGAGTGGAGGGAAGACTTCTAGTTGCATTTTATTCTATGTGGCACAATATGAGGACCTGTTTAATTCCAGTAACCTTCAAGAATATTTAACCAGAAAATGACTCTAATCGTGGGTTCCAGAGAAGCTAGGTTGACCAAAATTGGTGTCTTACAGGTAGGACCTGTAGCATTTATTTATATTCTTTGCGGAAGCAACTAGATCTGCTTTTATTATGCCATTTTACTTCGTATATGATTTTATATAATTTTTTATTTCTTCTCAAGATTTTAAGTTACTTCTGTATTTCTTAGTACTGGTTAAGTTAGGGTTTACTTATTTTATTTAAAAAAATTTTGTTTTGAATTTTGCTATAGAATGTGCCCTCCGGGAGAGAAAAAGTGAGAAATCACCTCCCACCCCCCACGGGTGGTGGGGGGATGGCCTTTTTGTAATCTCTTCCCCTTCATTCTCCTCTCTGGATTTTGGGCACACATGTGCACACACATACACACACACTCGGTGTGTTTTTCAAGCATTGCGGTTTCGGATTTAAAACACACAGTCGGCCATGAGGGAGTCATTACCTTAACTGCCACACCACTGGTTGGTCCACTGGCCAGTAGGTTATTGCATGTTAAGGAGCCAGTATTTCAATCTAAAGTTTTATGAGTCTTGCTTTCTTTTCACATATTTGGCCTTAATTTAGGGCTAATCAGTTTTTTTGTGGTGATACTCCTAAGTTAATTGCAAGTAGTTGTAAAATGTAAAATAAGTATTGAATAGAATTAAATCTATCTTCTTTTAGTGGTATCTAAATTTTATTCTCAGCAAAAGAACTTGTGGCAGGCTAACAGGAGTGGTATTTTTCACCACCAGTCTGCAATGATTTTGTTTTTGCTTTCATTTTTTTACCTTTGTTCCCCAGCCTTCTCATTTCTTCAAACACATGCATGTGTTTATGTCTCTGTGTTTTCTGTACAGAACCAAAGGGAATCTTGGTGATCATGGATTTAAATTTGTATTGTGGAAGAGGAAATTAGCAAAGTAGCAGAGGTTTGCCTATCAAGTCGTAGTTAATTAATACCAAATATACAGTTGTTTAATGTTTTATTTTTAAGTGAGTAATTGCCATAATAAGGAGTAGACCCCTGACTTCTGAGTCTGAGTTCAAGCTTCAACCCCAAGTTACATGATGCTGCTTTCTGTTTTTGCTATTCATTTCCCCCACTTTTTTGCTTACTATCTCCCCTGTGTTTGGACATTATAGTATCAGTGATAGACTTCAGGATCATCCGAAGTCTCTGACTCAGTCTCCTTTTTTGGAAGGATAGCGGCAGTGATGTATAGCAGTTTACAGTGTGCTTCTCTGAAGAATAGAACCTATTTTCTTTAAAAACAAGCAAAATAAGTCTAACCCAGCGCTTAGTGGTAGAATTTTCTCAAATGATGGAAACGTTCTGTCTGTGCTATCCAATATGGTAGCCATATGTGGTTCTTGAACAGACTTGAAATGTGACTAGTGTGACTAAGGAATTGAATTTTTTATTTTATTTAATTCTAATTAATTTATAATTCATCACATATGGCTACTGGCTGCCACATTGGACAGTACAGCTCTAAAGACTTGTAGTTTGCCAATATGTGAAGAAGAAAAATGGTTAAGATCAGATCATTCAAACATTTCAACTTCTGGCTGAGAAATTGTTAGTTTGTGTATCCAAACCATATTTGGGGTAAAAGGGCTCTCTGGTCAAATACATTTGGTAAAAACTATATACTCTAGCATTCTAAATGTATACAATGACATTTCAAAAGTTTTAGAAAATCGTATAGAAAGTAAAATGATTTAATTTTTAGTCTAGGCTTTTCTCTTTTTTTTTGTAGAGGTTTTTGCTATAGGGCGCGTGCGCTCGCCAGACAGACAGAGAGAGACATAGAGACAGAAAGCGAGAAATCACCCCCCAGGGGGGATGGTCACGCCGCAATCCCTTCTCCTCCATTCTCCTCTCGGGATCTTGGGCACGCATGCACATGCGCCCGGCGTGAGTTCTAAGCTACCGGGTCCAGGACTCGAACCATGGTCGACTATGTGGGAGTCCAGCGACATAGCCATTACGCTAACTGCTGGTTCCCTAGTCTAGGCTTTTGTACAGTTTGACCAATACTTCCCCCTGAGCATTTTTTTTTTTTTTAAATTGTCAGAGTGTGTGTGCACTCAGCAGACAGAAAGAGAGAGGGAAAGCACACTTCAGTGGTCACATAGCAGTTCAACTGTTTCTCCATCCTGTCAGGATTTTGGGCATGCACACATATGTATCTGGTGTATTTTTCAAACCACTGGGGCCAGGATTCAAACTGGTCAGACATGTGGGATCTGACTCACTTAATCACTAGGCTATGGGGCTGGCTCCTCCTGAACATTTTTGTACTTGATACAGTGGTAGGTCAGAGGTATGCCTCTGCAATTATTCTTTTAAATTGTTGCTCTACTGTTTACTGCGTGACCATGAACAAATTATTTTAACCTCTCTCAATCTCAGTTTTTCTCTCTGTAAAATAGGATTGTGATATTCTATAAGATTGCTATGTGAATTAAATGGGTCAGTTTATGGAAAGCACTGAAAACAGTGCTTGACTCATGGTAAATTCTGTTTACGTTAAAACTGGCCTTGGGGCCAGCAGTTAGCATAATGTCTATGTCACTGGACTCCCATGTAGTCGACCGTGGTTCACATCCTGGACCGTTTCTCCATCCTGTCAGGATTTTGGGCATGCACACATATGTATCTGGTGTATTTTTCAAACCACTGGGGCCAGGATTCAAACTGGTCAGACATGTGGGATCTGACTCACTTAATCACTAGGCTATGGGGCTGGCTCCTCCTGAACATTTTTGTACTTGATACAGTGGTAGGTCAGAGGTATGCCTCTGCAATTATTCTTTTAAATTGTTGCTCTACTGTTTACTGCGTGACCATGAACAAATTATTTTAACCTCTCTCAATCTCAGTTTTTCTCTCTGTAAAATAGGATTGTGATATTCTATAAGATTGCTATGTGAATTAAATGGGTCAGTTTATGGAAAGCACTGAAAACAGTGCTTGACTCATGGTAAATTCTGTTTACGTTAAAACTGGCCTTGGGGCCAGCAGTTAGCATAATGTCTATGTCACTGGACTCCCATGTAGTCGACCGTGGTTCACATCCTGGACCCGGTGGCTTAAAACTCACGCTGGGTGTGTGTATATGCGTGCCCAAGATCCTGAGAGGAGAATGGAGGAGAAGGGATTGTGGCGTGGCCATTCCCCTGGGGGGTGATTTCTCGCTGTCTCTCTGCCTCTGTCTGTCTGGTGAGCGCACGTGTCCTGTAGCTAACACCTCTCAAAAAAAACCAAAAAGAAACTGGCCTTTATTTATTTTTTTTAATGCTTGGTCCATGGGGTGGGGGTGGGGAACTCTGAATTTAATATGGAGAGTGGATAGTCTTATAATTTACAGGACTATATGTCTTTTTTATTTTGAGAAACTTTTAGTTTTTTATTTTGAGGTAATTATAGATTCATAGGAAATTGCAAAAGTAGCACAGAGGTCCTTAACGTTTACTCGTTTTCCTCTAATGGTTATGTCTTACATAACTATTATATAATACCAACACAAAGAAATTGACATTGGTACTGTGTGTGGGGGGGTTGGGGGTTTGTGTCATTTTCTCACATGTAGATTAGTGTAACTACCACCACAGTCAACATTTCGTTATGGGACAGATCCCCCCTTGTGCTATCCATTTATAATTTTACACACTCCCTCAGTTTTTGGACCATCCTTAATACCTGCCATCCATGGATCTGTCTTCCATCTCTATATTTTGTTGATTTGAGAATATTAAGTAGATAGAATCATATAATATGTCATCTTTTGAGATTAACTTCTTCATTCAGCATAGTGGCTGAGATCAGTCCACATTGAGTACATATCAATAGCTCATCCCTTTTCCTTGCTTAGTAGTAGTCTGTGGTATGGATGTATGACAGATCATCTACTGAGGAACATTTTGGTTGCTTCTAGTTTTGGGCTATTTGGAATACAGCTTCTATAAACATTTATGTTTAGGCTTTTGTGTGGATGTAAATTTTAGTTTCTTGGGGGAATGCACTTGCTGGGTCATATGGTTAGTGTATGTTTAGTTTTTTTTCATTCCCACCAGTAATGTATGAGAGATGCAGTTTCTCTACATTCTTGTTAGTATCTGGTATTAACACTTTAAAATTTTTAACTGTTTTAATAGATGTGTAGTTATAACTCATCATGGTCTTCATTTGCATTTCCCTAATGGTTGCAATATTAAACACTTCATGTCATCATTCGC